TCATTTAATCGATTTATTATCGAATGGGTTGGAAAAAATATATCTTTGGCATGGCTACGGTGGTGGCGGTGGTGGTGGCCAGCTGGAATAGACACACGGCCTGATAAACGATCGTAAAATGTTTATTAAGTGTATGTGTGTGTGTGTGTCTTCGGCAGCAATTTTCACATAGTAAATGTTGCAGTCAGTGTGGCGTTTTATCGCGGTCATCACTCAAGACAAGCGAAACAGAAACAAAAGATGAAACTCCCTCTCGATCGCATCTCGCTCTCCCGCGCTTCATCACACTGGCGATTATTGCCGCGTTGCAAGAGATATTGCGTGAATGAAAACCGGGAATTTATTATTTATTTCGCTGGCGATCGTGCTATCCATGTCTAGGCTGGCTGCATGTTGTTGTTGCTTTTTTTTGCCGAATGCAAACAAATTGCGGTTTAATTGCAAAACGCACGGCTCTTGAGAGAACAAAATATTTCCATTTTTAGTTAATTTTAAGCGGATTTCTCTGCTTTTTTGGCCGCTTCTATCTCGTTTTTATGCCATTTTTGGACTTTTTCAGGCTTTTTCTCTCTCACTATCTCTCTCGCCTTTTCTCTCTATCTTTCTTCCTATCTGTGTCACTCTGACTCTTTCTCTTGATTCCTCGCTGCCTCTATGCTTCTCTATCCCATCGTATCTTCGCCTCCTTCTCTCTCATTCCCTCTTGTCTCACTCTCTCTCAAAATCACCATTTACATCACCCCGAAACCAGAAACGCGCACGATACACAATCAAAACATGGTTTGTATTTTTTCACGTTCTTCGTTCGACTCAACTTCTAAGCTTGGTACACACACGGAGATGACGGAGAGAAGAAGATGAGAAAAAAATTGCTGTTTTGGTTCTTTTTTTTCCCACAATATTCGTTATGTATCATCGTTCGTATCGAGCACACGCACCTTCAAGAGCCAGCTCACAGACACGCACTTTTTCTTCTCCAATGTTATGAATCATCACGATCCAATGAAAGAATGTTTGGTGTATGGAAGAAAAACACGATAGAGAGATAAAAGAAGAAAGAAAAAATCTCAGCCCAACGATTTCGATGCTTTGAAATTGATCGGCGAAGATTTTTTGCGCGCAGAGCGATCGTTCAGTCGGAGCAGATCATGGCAAGAAAAAAAAAATGTGCCAATTTTTGTTAAAAGCCATTACGTTTGAGTCCAGCGCCAGTGTACTGCTGGCCCAGCACATACAATCACCATTTTTTCAATGCCAAAAAATATAAATTTCAACTCACAAAACTGATAACACACAATTCGACCTTTCAACATTCAGACTTACACAAACGCTCGCTTACTGCTTTACTTGCCTCTAACACGAATCGCACTTAGTACACGATGCCTTCAACTGACCGAACACTGGACTTTTTATGCGAAACTGCACAGTGACCGTCATTATCAACAGCAATACGAAAAACTTTTGCAACCACCAAACAATTCGGTCAACAGTTTTAATGCTCACTGACGTTGGGTTTTCTTCACGTTTCTTTCGATTAAATTTCGTTTAGTTCACGATTTTAAATAGTGGCTTTGGCTTCACAATTTTAAGTTTTAGGCCCACAATTACAATTTTTGGACCAACAATTTCAAGTTTTGGGTCAACAATCTCAACTTTGGACTTGGAATTTTATTTTGAGCCCGTGGCTTGAATTCTGAGTTCACAAATTTCGTTCACTTTAGCAATTTTATCGTAAACTTGTGCAAAATTTCGGCGAATTGCGTAATTTTGAAGCAATCTCTGTGCGCGTCAATTATCAAATCACCAAGCAAATTATCAAATCTCAAAATAAATACTCGGTTGTATTCATATTCCGTATGATGTAAAGCCGAAAAATTCGTTCCGTATTCAGATGATGTAAACAGAAGAAGAACAAAAATGTTGTGTTGAAATCAGATAAACACAGTATTTAAATGACACAATCACATACACACACACACATATTCACATTGGATTGAAATGCCGAAAGAACTGGATTCGGCAGACAAATGTGCGTCGATGAAGCAAAAACACAATGCGCAAATGGATTAAGGTCCAGAACAAAGGTCCATCCAAAAAATATCGGATGGGAATCGTGCACACGCAATAATTTTTCAAACAAAACCACAGACAATAATTTCACAAGACTGTTTATTCATTCCCGAATGCACGCAATGGTTTTAACTACCTTCGTTTCTTTCTAATCGGTTTCTAAATGTTTTTTCTTGTTTTATTTTTTGACACGAAAATCGTTTTGGTTTCTTTGAAATTTGCACAAATAGTCTTAGCTGGCTGGTTTTCAGCCAAACACAATCACTTGAATCGACAAAATCACTGGTGACTGTGTTGTCAATCGCATTGATCTGTCACCGGGGGGATCATACACAGTGAACAAAAAGTGTTTTTTTTTTCAATCCATTTGCCGATAAATAGTTCGATTATCACAAAATCCATACGTTGACTATTGATTTAATGCACAATTTTTTCAATGTAGCCACAAAACATCCAACAAATGAATGCAAATTTTCTGTTTTCTGTTGACTTTTTGACACAAGATCCCGTCGTTGGATTTGTTTTTATGTTGTTGTGTGTTTTTTTTTCCTCTTCTTCGGTCGTTCGGTTTATTTTCAACACGCAACCGTTCTGAAATGACTGTCGATGAATAACTGCCAGCTATACGAACGACGAAGCGCACGTATACTTAGTTCTCTTCAATTCGGCTCATGTTTTTTTTTTTCGTCTCTTCAGGCATACATATTCAAGAGAGTGTGTTTCATACACATTCAAAGCCCATGCTATGATGGTGTGTAGTTGTGAGAGAGAGATTTCACAATCCGACAACAGTTGCAAACACTGTGCGCAACCATTTCAACATGCTTCTTTTGCTGCTTTGCTTCTTGTTTTTTTCCTGAATTCTCTCTCTCTCTCTCTATCTCTATCGTGCTTTGTGAAAGAGCCCATACACATATAGCTGCACAACAGCGACGATGTGATAATAATGCGATGGAATTCAAGTACCCATGAACTAACCGATCAAAGAGGAATAAAAACTATTCAAACAATATACGTGTAGTGGTGTACGTATGTGTGCTATGACTGTGCCTGTGCATGTTTATGGCGCAAAAGAGATGCAACGAAACATTTTGGAAGACAACACTTCAAGCACAGCAGCTGCGTTGAGTGTCGGAACGGGACAAACAACACGACACAGATTGACTACCTGTTGAATAATGATGTTGACTCTCGACACCAACGGCGCTACAGACAAGGGCTTTTGAGAAACCAAACAGAGTGATTCGATAAGTCAGTCATAGATGGCACATGAATTGACCTTGAAAATATGTACAATGATTTCGATTCACATAGATTTTCAAAGCATTGATCATAAATATGCTGGTTTTTATGCAAATCTAAAGGACAAATGAGAGCATTGGGTTCTAAAACATGATGGACATTTGTATAAATCGATACAAATGAGAGGAATTCAATTGGTCAGTCATTGAAAATGGGGAGAAAAATATCAATCAAACTGATTTATGCGAGATATTTCATCAACGATTCGAACAATTTGGATGATTCTACACCGGATTTGCATGAAAATATACGAAAAAAGACGGAAAAATTTAAGAAGTTAATACAAAACTCGATGGAATTTGGATGAAAATTCAACATTTTTGGTAAAAATTTAAGAGATTTGTGTTGAAAATGGCAATTTTTGGCTGAAAAATAACAAATTCTGATTCAAAATAGCAAAATTTGATTGAAAAATGTCAAATTTTCACTGAAAACTGACCAATTTTGATTAAAATATGGCAAATTCTGGCTAAAAATGCTAATTATTGGTACAAAATGTAGGACATTCTCATTAAATACAGGCAAAATTGATCCAAATTAACAAAAAATCGTAAGAAAATGAAGAAATTCTAACGAAAATTGATACATTTTGAATGAAAATTGAAGTTTCTTGGTAAAATTGCACGAGATAACTCCGAAAACAATGTAAATGTTCGGTTGAAAATGGATTTTTTTCTATTTAAAATTGCAGTTCGAGGCTGAGAAAAGAGCAAAGTTCAACAAAAAAAAAACAAAAAACCGTCGAAAAAAATGTAATAAAAAACGAAAAAGAAAAGGAGAGCGGCAAAAGACCATAAAGTAATAAACATAGAATGATAGTTTGAAACTGACAGTTCAATTTGCTCTCAATGAGAACGAAAATCACGAGGAAGAACATCGAAAAATGACCACTGAAAAATTTAAACCCATCAATTGAATGATTCGCAGGAAAAAAACATTTGGATTAAAAAATATGAATCCAATGCATATTTTCCCTCAAAATGATTTTCATTGCATAATTGTTTCTAATATCGATCAATCTCCCAAATTCGATTGGTTTAACACAAAAACTGTTGTCTATTGTATTGTCGCAATGTCACCTCACATTGCGTCGGAAAGCTTTGTATGGCCGAAAACATCGCAAATAAGTGTAAAAAGGCCGTATGGTGTCGCTGCTAGTATAAATGTGGCCTATACTATGTGAATCAAACACAGACGAACGGCAATTGTCTCTGAGACGCCATACCGGTTGCAGTGTTTTGTTATATTGTGCGATACAAAAATCGTTCTAAATTTTGTTATTACAAAGCGTATTCCAGCGAAAAGGTTGCTGTTAAAAAGCTGAGTAAGTAAATCATTTTGTAAAAATAAAATCCAAAAAAATCCACAACCGAATTGATTGAAATCATGGAGCGAAAAAAAAAAATTCGTGGAAAAAAGAATCATTCGCATTTTGTTGTTGTTGGTTTGTGTGTATTTCGAGCGCCTTTTTTTGCTTGAGCCTGTGTTGCGTGATTTTTATGGCATTCAAACGACGCACACACGTACACAGCGGCCCATCACGCTGTCACTAACTCCAAGTTACAGTGTATAAACGCGCGCGCATAATTTGTCTTAGTGTTTGTGTGTCGAATTTAGTTGTTTGTGTGCGGATTTTTTTTAATGGCTGCAACACAGCATTCTTAAGCATTCAGTCGTTCACTGTGTACCGACTTTTTCAACGAGTTAAAATAAAATTTCAGCAATCACAACAAACACACAAAATTGACAAGCCTAATTCTAATCGCAGTAAACGTGCGCTCCAATACGAAATCAAATTTTTCGGTCGCAAACAACAACAACATCGAAATAAATCCAGTGCGTGTGATTCTATTCTCGCTAAAAAAAATTTTTTTTTGCTTGACACGGCTTTTTTGCTCAGTCTCTTGGTTAGTGCGACATTGTCTAATTCACACTTTTTTTTTTGCACATTCTACAGATACATCGTTTATACACCAGCAGTGTAAACTGAATTATTACGATACAAAACGGTAAAAAAAAATCCAATCCAAGAAAAATGTCGAAAAGTGATGCCACCGAAGAAGAATTCTCAGTCGAAAAAGTACTGAACCGACGCGTTCGTAATGGCAAAGTAAGTTTTTTTTCTGTTTTTTTTTTATTCTCCTTTTCTCTCTTTCTTTCTCACCTTTTTTCGGTTCTTCTCGGTAGTTCGGTTGCATTTTTTGTTGTTTTTTTTTTCTTTTTGCTCGTCGGAATGACAATCGTAAGAAAAGTACAGTTTACATCTGTGTTAGAAGCCACTGGTCGTTGCTGTCAGTGATGAGGTTAGATTGTGACGACACAACCAAATCATACAATACCAATGAAAATGGCAATCCGTATTTTTAGACCAATGTTTACACAAACGTTTTGCCGAATTTTATCTGCACATTAAATTCAATTACATGTTTTCCGTTCAGTCACACTTTAGCTCACGCTTTTGACAGATCTTGGCTACAGCGATATGGACGATAAACACTTTGTTTTACATAAATTGTTTATACAAAATGAAAAGTGTTTACACAAAGTGGGCTTTGGTCACATGCATCTTGATAATAATTATAACATTGTTCGCGTCGAACAGCTTCACATTATGTTGAGTTCAGAATTTGCATTGCAAATTTTGTATACAGCACACAGCCGATGACAGTCTGTGTCTGTGACGAACGCAGTTTTTTTAGACAGTTTTGGTGACAACAATGTGCTTTTCACTTTCGTTGACGATTTTTTTGTTTCATGACTATCTTTTGTTGATCGCCGATTCTTTTTCATTTTTTTTCTCCAATTTTATGACTTTTTTCCTTTTTGTTATCTTTCTCGTTACGGCTTAGTTTTCTCTGTTCTTCCATTTTTTTTCATCGCTTCGGCTTGCTGGACCAATGACGCTTTTCTTATTTTAACGCAGTAGGTTTGACAATTGATGTGCCTGAGCAGTTTTCAGAGTGAATATTCATTCTATCAAAAAATAATGCATTTTTTGTAGTTTTTTTCGATCCCATTCTATTTTGTTCGTTTCATGGTCATCGACCAGGTCATGGTTTCATCATTTTATTAGTTCTTGGTGACTGGACGAAATTTAGATTTTTACTGCTACTTCAACTAATGCAATTTGTCTGCCCTTTTGATGAACAGTTACAATTGTGTTGTTTGTTCCGAAGCAAAAAAGCAATTATTCATGAAAAAAATTATAATTTTGTAGCTCTTTCAAATGAAAATTAGACATCTTTGGTTAGTTTGGTTTTGAGTTTATACATTTTTATAAAGAAAATTCGAATTTTTCAACAAAAAACAATACTGTGGCTCTTCCATTGAAAATTTCCAATTCTTTTTTCTCTCAAGAGAAGCTTTCAATCAAAATAATTTTCGATCAAAATATGAATTTTCAATTGGAAGAAGAGCTGTGTCATTATGCCAACTAAACACAAATGTTTATTTCATGACTTTTCTCCCAGGTTGAATACTACCTTAAATGGAAAGGGTACAGTTCGGATGACAACACATGGGAACCAGAGGAGAATTTGGATTGCCCAGACTTAATTTCAGCGTTCGAAGAGAACCGCACCAAAAAAGAATCGGAAAAACGTAATGGTAAGCATCCCGTTATTAAAACAAAACGCACAGCACTGGTGTGTTTGTGTGAGAAATATATTCTAGATTTGAAGTGGTGATTTGAGGTGATAGCATGAGGCTTTTGTCTTGATGCAAATCCGTTATTGCTTTTTATGTGTCAACAATTTGAGTTAGGGAAAATATGTTTTGTTCAGGGAAAGACGACAATTCGTCTTCGAATGTTTTTTAGACAATTGAACAGTCAAAAAAAGAGAGAAAAAGTAAAAAAAAAGAAAAAATTAGAAGAAAAAGAAAGCAAAGAGTAAATAGAGTAAAGAAAAAAACTACATAAAAAATTGAAACATGAATAAAAACGGAATAAAATCAAATATTTTAAAAACCCCATTTGATTCAGTGTAAAGAAAAAAAAACTTAACTACCCAAAATACTAAACAAATCAAACAATTGACTTATTCTAGGCTCGATTACCGCAGGTAAAGATGACAAAAAGCGAAAAGGTTCGAGTCCGATACCGACAGACAAATCGCAATCAGCGAAGAAGAAAACGCCCGAAGAAAAGAAGGTGACTGGTTTCGATCGTGGCTTAGAGCCGGAAAAAATTCTAGGTAAGTCGAAATGGTGAATAGTTTGAATCTCTTTGGAATAGTTTGTTTTGCAATTTAAACTAATTTTAAAGAAATAACCTATACAAAAAACAAGTGTTGAGATTTTCTTTGGAATTCTTCTTTTTTTGATGATGTTAATTAAAACTGGCACGGTCACCGTGTTCCACTGTGTCGATCTTAATTCAAACGGCGACAATTTTGAAACATTGCTCAATGTCAATTTTCCACTGATTTTCAACCGTTTCATACTGCTTTGCATTGCTTTAGTGACCGAAATGGTCAATCTAGACCAAAAAAGTCGATCAATGCCATAAAGGCTGATCAAAGCCAAAAAAGTGTGCATCATGAATAATTCAAAAATTCCAATCCTCCCCTCAACAGGTGCTACTGATAGCAGCGGTCAATTGATGTTCCTCATGAAGTGGAAGGACACCGATGAGGCGGATTTGGTCCCATCGACGCAAGCCAATTTGAAATGCCCGCAAATCGTCATCAAGTTTTACGAGGAAAGATTGACCTGGCATCAAAGTTCATCGGATGCGGCTGACGCCTAAATTCATCGCCAAACATCCGCCACCACCGAAACCTTTTGAATAAGCCGAAAAACAACCATTGTTTAACACACACACGAACAAACACACCGCTAAAAATGAAGTGCAGCGGTACAATCGATATTCCCACTTCTTTCTCATTTCAAAATATGCATTTCGACGAAACAGAAAAACGAAAACAAACTCAATTGTTTTAAAACATTTTTTTTTATTAAGCAAAACAAACAAACAAACAAAAGAAAGAAATGCAATGTTTCAGCTAAAGAATAAAACGACAGGCTCAGCCATAGCGCGCTCGCAAAAAAAACATCATCAAAACAAACAAAAAAATTTGACAATTTTCAACATTTATCTCAAATTTTTACAAAATTCTTTTTTTCTCTGATTAAATTACAATTTTTTTTGTTCCGACAAAGGAAAAACGAATGTGAAAATAAAAATGAAAGCTAAACAAATGAAAAAAAAAACAGCACTTCCAAAACAAAACAAAACAAAAATCTTATTGAAAGAACATTCAACACATTTTTTTTATTGAAGTAACTTTTCCGTTTGCTTCATATAAATTTCCTTTTTCTTAAAGCGTTCTTTCCACACTTTTGGTTGGCAAATTAAACATGTAGACTAAATTTAAGATGAAATAAAGCGATTATAAGTGAAAAATACCAGAATAAACACAGCAGTTTGTCTTTTAATTGAACGAGTATTTTATTAGGTGGACTATGTTACAACACGATGCCAAGGCTATTGCCTTTCTCTTTGATACTATTCTCTAAACTCAATAAATAACGAAGAACAATTAGCTGTTCCTTAGCCTCTGCCAAATTGTTGGCCGACAACGATATTTCCAGTTTGTCGATGCAAATTTGACAGTCTTTTTGCACGGCTGTCAACAGTCGCAGTAGATCGCTCTCGGTTTTGGCCGCATCAACCTGTGAGATGTGAAAGAGAAATTTTTTGGTTAGGTATTGAGAAAAAGATGCAATAGAGAAATGTGATTGAGGCATGAACAATATATTAGCATTGTCTAGCACAACATTGGCTTAGTATTGTCTAGCACAAAGGTAGGAATCAAACTAAGACCAGAATCTGGTCATCTGATTTCAATTACGATCGGCAAACAATCGATTGTATCAGCAGAGACAATCAAGAAGAAAGAAGAATTTCGATCAAGAAGAAAGATTTTTATTCAATTTCAATTCTTATCAAATTCAGTCAATAAAAAGCCATCTGACTAAATGAGATGGCAGACAAGCCAGCGACTGAACAGAGGAAAAGAGAAATCACAGGAAATTTCGGAATAATTCCTCAAAAGCTTTGGAAACAGCGAAAAAAATCAATACAATTCTGCTCACCTCTTCATTCCGTTCCATCATTTCCATGAGAAACTCTGAGTTGGCGGCCGTGTTGCCTTCGGGGATTTGAACGTTGTACGATTTTAGTAAGTATTCGGCTCGTTGAATGGGCGACAACAGTATTTTGTAGGCTTTATTGACCAGTGAGCTCCATTCGGCTGACAAGTTTTGCTCCTTCTCTGAACTGAAAAAGTGACAGTTTTAGTTTCTTGGGTTCATTTTGATAAAACCTATTGAAATTTTGATTAATTTAAACGAAGTTGAATGAAATTTGGACGTTAATTTAGGGAATTTCCAAAAATGGACAGATAGTTTTGAAAATTGAATTGGAAAATAATTGAAAATCATGAAAATTATAGAAGATTATGAAGAACAATAGCAATAATTGCCCCAATTGGTCGATCGGCACAACTGGAGAGCAAATTTTGGTCATTAGAACTGCATCAACGCCTGATTCAGTCAACGTGCCTCACCTATTGCTGAATTTGTCCGGGTGTAGCACGTTCTGAATCTGTCGAAATTGGTGGGTCAGTGTTTTGGTGTCAATATCAAATCTCTTATCCACCCTCAGCAGTTGGAAATTATCCTGAAAAATACAAAATCATCGTCATTCCATCATCACCAATCGGCTTCAATTGAACACATACCACATCGTCTGGCAGTTCAAGTAGACTTTGACATTTGGTACATTTGAATTGGATGCCAGCCGACGAATTTTCATTGCCGCATTGCCAACACTTGATCAATCCCGACGCATAGCTTGCTATTGTTCGAATCAATACTGATTTGCCCAATTCGTTCGTCTGGTGGTCGGCATTCGCGCCAAAAACTCCTATCCTAAACACAGCCAATCGTTTGAGGTTATGTAACATCCTATGGATTTGTTTTGTTTACTAGAATTCACTATTTCAACGAGTCGGTCAGTGGTTTGAAACCAAAAATTACATCTATACTATCACTTTGGATTTGTTTTCGAAACAGAGCCAATGATAACGACTCTGCAGGGACTTTTGGTCACGGGAAATTTATTTTATTCGTCGATTTTCATTCTTTTGTTATTGTCGGGGAATTTGCTTATAAACGTCAGATTCTATTTATGTTTCGCTGTGGTGGTTTTGTTGACAGCTCTTTTTACGCACGAAATTTGAATGAGAACTGAGACATAGGGCAAGCTGGTGGAGATTTTTTTTCTGAAATAATAACATGTTTTTTGTATTTTTTTATTCTTTATTTATTTGAAGAAGAAAAGAAGTTATTAGGAAAAATTGGATTATTACAAAAAATGATATTTCATCATTTATTTGCTCTGAAAAGAACATTTTCTTAAAACAAATTATTAACTGAACACAATTTATTCAAATGTCTGACATTGTAAACCAAATTCACGAAATTTCTTTAAAAACTAATTTTGAAACAACATCACGAAAATTAACATAAATATTATTCTCAAAATCAATGCTGATACCATTTTTCAATTTATACGCCCCAATGTAAAATTGTGCGATACTGTAAGAAAAATTGCACGTCATAATTTCATAATAACCTCCATCTTCGATTGCAACTGGTTCAGACAGAACAATGTGAATTTCGTCATCCCTTGTTGAAGTGAATTCTTGAAAATCAAACAAATCCGTTTTAACTCCGCTATTAATGTTTCTACGCCTAATTTTGTATCGTAGCACTTTTTCACCTTTATTTGATTGCTCCAGTTTGATATAAAAATCAGTTAGTAGAAGTTTTTTTCTTTTAAAGGAATTGTCAAAACTAATAGAGAATCTAGTAACACACATGGCGTGCGGTGACACATGTATTTTACTACGAAAGTACCATTTACGATCACATATCACTATGCCCTTCTCCTTTATACCTGTTGGTGAATCTTTATTCGACGCTGACTTCGTAACAGAAGTTTCATTCGCAACAATCTGTTGAATAGTATTTTCAAGCTCATCTCCACTGAAGAAACCCTTATATGTGGTGATATGCTGAGTAAATTGTTTGATGGTTAGCTTATGAAACGGGATTTGATTGAAGAATTTGCCAAGTTGATTCCGCAAATTTATCGAATTTGCTTCCCGATCATTTCTCTCACAATCGGCCTTGGCCCATTCCATGCAGCCGAATACTATTTCCGAGGCACAACATTTCATCGAAACTAATTCCAGTATTTTGGCCATTGTTTTGTGATCACACTCGAGGAAACTATCCGATTTAATTACTTCTGAGGGATTTTCTTTGATTTTCTGCTCACAAAATGACATCAGATCTTTTTGTTCAAGAAAACTGGCGACCGCGTAGCCCCAGCACACATCATTATTGGTCAATGTGTTCTGTAGAATGATCTCGCATATTTTCAATCCTTGGTCCACTTCGTACTTTTTACACAGATTCATCACATCGGCGATGTTCTTGGATGTTAATCGAACTGTGCCCATGTAGAAGAATTGTAAAAACTCTTTGAACACCTCGGCCGATGCATCGACAATCGGAATATCGCCCGTCTCCGGCAACGAACCATAGAACATCGTATCAAACACAGGACTCAGAACGGATAAAATGTTCTTATGTGCTGGCACTCTTTCCGGGTGTTTGGTGCCTTTACCAAATCCAAAGTGAACGTCGGCTGTTCTTGAATTCAAATACAATTTTTCGTTCAATTCACGGGCTGATTCATTTTCATGCTCCAACACTCTTCCCTCCATTTTAGGTGATTTGAAACTTTGAACTGATTGCAATTTGAAAAATATTGATCAATCTGGAAATAGAACAGATCGCAAACTTTATAGAATGATAATTTTTCGTCAAATCAAATGAAATATATACATACACAAAAGAGGATGTTCTTTGTTTTCTTCACAATGAATTCATTCGCCAAATAGTTTTCGCTCGAAAAAATATGGACTATGTTTAACACGAACGATTTTTTTATTTGTTAATATATGTTTTTTGCTGGACACCAGGATGAAAACTGATCGGTTTTGTCAGAAATAGTTCTTATTTTGATTGTTATAAATGAACTGAACAAAATGAAAACACAAAGCTATCTGTCGACAGATCGTTAGGAATTGATGAGTTGCTAATGAAGTTATACTTTAAATGTTTGACATGTGTTCCAGTTCAAGAGTATGTGAAATATGAATGCGATGAAACGCAGTTTCAGTTGTATTTTGCTTTGCGCCGTATGTAAAGTGAGCTTCATACCAAAGTACTTAACCTTAGATGCACAGTGCATCATGCACTGACAATACTTAACCTTAGATGCACACATCAACATTACCATGGATATCAATACACGATATCTCACACATATTTCAATACAATTTGATAAGCGTTTGTTCGTTACAGCTGAAATACAAAATATCCGTTCATATGTGGACTTTGCAATATGTCAAATATAATGGATTTTCAGATTCTGAGTTCTTAGAAACAATACAAAAATTTATCGTATGCCACAACATTCTCTCTAGGATCATGTATTTCGTAATGAATGAATTTCCTTTTATTTTTAAAAAAATTCGGTAGAAAAACGTCGTATTTTTGTGTATGAAACCTGAATCTGAATATTTGGACCGATTATTTTAGATTGAACTTGAATGGTCATTATGATAGCAAAAATCTTTGGCGTAAAGCTAAGTACACAGTTCCTCGTGAAATGAAAAAATTTCTCCGGTGAAATTTTCACCAGTGATCTTTG